GAATTTGGATACACCACACAGGCAGCCGTCGAAGCGCTCAACAAACCATTGCGTTTTTGATGTCTTGATAAGATCTCACAAAGGATTTACGAAGAGTACAGGAAAGCACTTGCTATCTGTACTTGTGGTTTTATGACAAAGCATCTGTAAAGCTTCCATGGGAGACTGGAAATAAAATGTTTAAGACAAATTAACTTCCTGACACAAATATTTCTGTTACTCTTCTATGCCCTCAGGAGTTTGGTTAATTAAACATAATTAACAGGATTATTTAATCAAGCTCACCCAATAGTAAGTCTTGATAGTTCCAGGAGAAAACATTGTATGTTTGCAAACATATGCACATTTCAAAATAAGTCATTGGAAGAAGAGTAAATAAACTGCAATTAGTGAGCGTGGAGGAAATTTACCCTTCTGCAGAAGCTCACTCCAGAGAGTGGGCATCGCCCAGATCGATTGACTGTTGAGCTCAGTTTAACGAGAAGCTGAGCGTGGGAGCAAGGCAACACCTTGTAGTACAACAGCAACATCTCCCGGGCTTTGCCATCTCATTTCAGTCACCCCATCGCTACAGAAGTCGCACACTTGTGCAGTGAAGAGCAATGACAGCTGTGGAGGTGGCCTCACTCACAGCTGAGGTTGCAGCTGGATTTTTGTCGGTGTTTGCTGAAATAGTCGCAGCACAAGCTTAGCACAATAGGCTACGTTCAGAGAAAGTCATCTCCTCAACACGAGATTCTGCCTGGAGTCAGAAGAGAGGGCGTCCTTCCTTCCCCTATTTCTTTTATTCACCTGAAATAGGGGTGGAGGGGTGAGGGGAGTGTTTGGGCGAGTGTTTAGGGAGACAGCGGGGATTTGGAGTGGCTTGGAGTAGGAGGCAGGGGGGATTTGGGGGTCTGGCACTGTTCTGCACGGCCAGCAGAGCCTCTCTGACTCTGCACGTCTCTGTGCACCTCTGAGCAAGCACACAGAGAAAGCCCATGGGCTGACATCATTGCCACCGATGACTGCACAGATCTTCCTCTACACAACTCCCCAATGTAGGTCATTACTAGTAATGTGCCACAGGTCCGCTGTTTCCTAGAAAGGGCTTTTGCAGGTTTCTTAGAACAGTTTCGTACATTATTTTGTGAGGAATCTGGAGTTCCGTGTGTTGTGGCAGTTGGCACGGCAGTTGGATGCTCGCGGTTTTTACAGAACGTGATTGCAGTTTGAATTTCAAGGCTTTGGGGAGATTTTCTTTCACTACAGATACTAAACATCACATGAGCCAACCTCTGAGATGCATTTGTAGAGGACAACCTACACGCAATCCTCTGTAACTGGGTTATCTTCTTGAGGTTCTTCCTTTGCCACTGATACACAGCTGGTCTTACTCATCTATTGCAGAATTTTGGAGCACAGATTCTGTAAACCAGGATGCACGTAGGAGATTTGGCCAACAAAACACACCAGTTGTCCTCATAAAAAACCCACCAAACCAAAACCATAAAAGGATATTTCCGTAAGATAGCCATAGCTGAGTTCGCGGGGCGTGATGCAATTAATTCTCAAGCTCCTAAGGCTCTCTGCAGCATGGCACTGGATGATTGTCATCAATCCCAGAAAACCCAGAGGATGGTGGGAATGCTGGGAGTGGAGAAAGGTAAATACAGCCTGGGGCTAGAAATCTGAGGAGTTTGTAGAGCAACCAGCACTACTTGGGCTGCGGGAGGATCTGGGAACCTATTCTCTGTCTACGACAAAATAAGGTGGTTAAACGCATTTTAAAGTAGTCATGGACTTGGGACGACAACATTTGTTCTTCATGGTTAAACTGCTCTTTAACAGGCTGACTGCCCTCGCAGGGGAGGGGAAGGTGTTGCTGGGCTCCTGGTGTGCCAGGCTGAAGGCTGAAAGGTTTTCTTCATAGGGTGAGATGTCTCATCGTTGTGGATGGTTTCCTCTCAAACAGAAGGAATGCACTCTGGGTTTCACAAGCAGGTTTCCTGGGCCTGGCTATAATAAAAAAACCAAATCACCAACTATTTGAATCATAAACCAGACCAATCCTTATCAGAGTCAAGTGCGAGGTGCTCTTGGGAAGACAAGGTGTAAAGTGCAGCACTTAGGGAGGCAAATGGCCAAAACACACAAGCACAAAACAGCCAGGCAGCACCGAAGGATCACAAACATCAGCTGTGTTTGCCTGGTGCTGATTTTTTTTTCCCTCTCTTTTTTTTTCTCCTTTTCTTTTTTGTCCTTCCTGCTTCACATTTCATAGATGTGCAAGTTCCCTTTGGGACATACCAGCAGGCTGTGGAGATATAAGACATGACAGATGCTTACTCTGTCCTGCACATCTCTGGAAACATAAGTAAGCGTCTCACTCCTGTAATGCAAAAGCCTTTTCCTGACGAAGCACTCCCTCAGAGTAACGATGGTGACACCAGACGGCAACACTGGTTTTCCATCACCTCGGCAGCACAGCTATTTGCTTATTCCAACAATCTAGACTGAATTCAGTAATCAGGAAAGTCATAGTCCTGGCATTTATCTCAGATTATCATCCCAGAGTTTAACACTGCCTTGTGTTTTTTCTGGCAAGTGTCTTGATTGCAGGAAGGCGTGAGTAACTGCTTTGTGCTGGCCTGTTGTAAATCACTTCAAGTAGTCAAAGTATTCTTACTAAGAGATTTTACACCTGTTGGGTTTCCTCCCGGACCACTCATCCCTCTCTGCCCAGTCTCTCCCTCCCACCTAAGCTTCCAGCCGGTCTGTAGCCCCCGCCTACACACCGGGTCCCCCGCCTTGTCCTGAAAAGATATCTAAAATGCTAAAAAAAAAAAAAAAAGCATGAAGTGTGCATGACCTTGACAGCTGCACTAAAAAAATCTGGGAATTGCCAGAGAAGTGTCATAAATAGTTGCAGAAATGTGGAAGGAATCATTGAGCATGGCTGAAATATTAGTGAAATGATGAGGAAACTATAACTCATAGCTGGAAACTACCCCTTCAATGAAACAAGTAGATATGGGGGAACACCAAGGTAGCTGGAAGAAACCCAGCTGATGATTAAGACATTAACTTAGTCAATATGTTTTCTCCTTTCCCCTCTAACTTCATATTTTTTAAAGACTGTGCAAACTCACAGCGTCATCTATCAAATGCTTGTCGCAGTGCGATCTCTTTCACATCATGGCAGGAGAAAAGAGATTGTTATAGCAGGGTCAACGTTTCAGGACATGAATGTGCTCAGTACACTTAACAAAATAGATCCTAGAGATGGAAAAATGCAAAATTATGTGTGCCTTGAACAGGAGCTAAACTGAGGGGGAGCATCCAGTTCCCTGACTTGTGGGTTTATAAAGCACCTGCATGTAGGGCTATGGGAGGGTTGTCATCCCCAAAGATGCCCTTGGCTATGGTCCAGCCAAGGTCATAACAGCCTGCTCAAGAGACAGCCTGATTTCAAACCTATTTCAGTTTCCAGGGGGCAATAACAAACAAACAGAGAGCAAAGAAGATCGTGTCAAATGTAATGTTTGGGAAAAAAATAGTTCGCTCTTTAGACTTGTGTTTTTGTTAGTAGAAAAATATCTATTGACTTTTTTTTTTCCCCACACAGTTTCCTTATCATAAGGAAACTAGAGGAAAATAACGGAAATGACTACATTAAGTACATCATTGTTCAAAAGAGCAGGGAAGCAACAATTCACTGCCAGTTTGCAAGGTTTCACCAGCCCCAGCTGTGAGGATCTGGTCTGGGTCTAGCGTTAGTCAGGATTTTCATTAGCAATATTGGATTAAAGAGCAAAATACACCCTAACAAAACTCCTGCATGGCGGAGTGTATACTCCTACCACTTGTTCCAAAAGTGGGCTGGGAACAGGGAAAATCCCGAGCAGAGGATTCTTTTGCCTTCCCTGGGGATGGCTAAAACTTCATCTAGAAAGCTCATTCTAAGTAGCCCAAGAGGTAATAAATAACCTGATAACACAGACATGGAATCTGTGTTTTCAGACTTTAAATAAAACATGGAAAATTACTGCTCGGTTCCCATCTTCCTTTGTAGTCCAAGATGAAATCAGTGCAAGATGTCACAGCTGTCCTGGCCCCAGTAAAGCTGATCTAACACCTCTTTGCTGGGACTCCGGCACCCGTGGCCGATCTTTGTCTAATGTTAACCCAGGCGACAGCTGTTCTTAGGAAATCTGAATTATTTTCTGTTTATATTCACAGCCCAGCAAGCTTCTGAGTCATTCTTTACCAAATTTCTCCACTTGCTGTTCACAATTAGTTTGTCCTGCGCGTTGGCAGCTCTACCCATATTAAATGAAATTTCGCTGCAAACTTTCTCACTCGCTATCCAAGATTTGCTTTTCTCCTCAGACAGCTGGGAAACCTACCCTGAGGCTCCGGTGCCTTTCCTAAGAGCCCCAGCACCTTGTTACCTCTGGCCTGATTCTGAACAAGTTGCAATATATTTCCTAAATTTAGCCACGGAATTCCCTGCAGAAACTGTAGAGAATAGTTAAGGTAGTTTTTAAACAGATGTAAGTATTGCAGTGTTGAGCATTGTAAAAATATTTTTTTGGGAGAGTCTTCTTTAAATGACCCTATATATATATATATGTAAATATAAATCAAGATTTAGTTCTGCAGCAACTACATTTGTGTCTTCATGTCTACAAATGCATATTCTGGTATATTCAGACGCGGATACAGATCTCTGTCTACACTTGATCCACGCTGAAGAGTTGCACAGCTCGTCTTGGACGTACATACTGCGAAGGTATAGAGGCTATAACATCCCTCTGGACATAGAAAGTGTGCAGGCTCTTACTCATTTGAATAACCAGCAGATTCCATTCTTCAGGTAAATCTTCCCCGCCTCCCCTTTAGCAAGAGCATGTTTGTGGTGAGATATTAATCATTTCCTCCGGTGCTGTGTATATAAGAGGAGCCCGAGGCAGAGGCACGCACAGCTCACCCAGCTGAAGCGCGGAGCTCACGCCGCGATGCTCGTCCAGGTCGTGGCTCTGCTGAGCCTCGGGGTGCTCCACATCTCAGTGCCCATGCCCACTGGCACCACGAGGCATTCGGTAGGCTCGATTATTCAAGAAGTTCTCGAGAGCCTGCAGAAGCTCAACTTAAAGGAAGTAAGTTCCTCCGTTTTGAAGGCTGCCCTTCCACTCTGAGCTTGGGGTTGGAGTTACTAACTTCTTTTTCTCTTGCGCAGGTCCCCAGCCTTGCGACTGTGAACACTACGGTAAGAAAGTGCATCTTTTTCTTCTCTTTAAAATTATTTTCTTTTCTACTTCAGAACTTCCATAGCACTAAGATAGCTCTAGAAACCCAGGGAAATGCACAATTCTTGAAAGAACCTACTGAAAGCTGCTGCCAATGCTAAGCTCCTTCAAATGGCTCTCTCAGGAAGTAGAGGTTTTACAGGTGTGCTACCATCTTCTCGATAGCCTCAAAAACTTACTCTAGACCTTTAAGTTTAGAACAGTCCAAAATTACTATTCGGTCTATATTCCATACACAGACATTCATTTCACTGAGCTGTATTTTCCTGCAGCCCAGTGAAAAAAAAATGAGGTTTTTGTGGAGGTGAGCAGTACGTGTGAGAAGTAGGAGACCATCTGTTCAAAGTGAACAGGAGGCAAACAGCATCAGTCCCGCTCACTGTCAGGGAGAAAGGTTAAAAATTCACACCAGCAGCAATAATTACTTGTATTTCATTAAGACAGTTCTGATTTAGTTTCAACAGAGACAAACCAGCAAGAAAAGAAACCCTAATGTAGGATTGACTTTCCCTCCAAATACCTCCAGTGCGGGACACCTCTAAATTTCACATTTTCTAGCTGCACCTGCGACTTCCACTAAAGGCAGTGGGAGTTTTTGTCCCTGGCATGTTTTTAAATGAAAAATACAGATTGTACCATGGTTTCCTAAATTTGGTGTCTGGCAAATTGCTGAATACAAAATCAGAGGTCATGGCTGAAAATACAGCTCTTAATTCCTGTGGGCTATCATTTTTCATGGGTATCTAAATTGCTGGGATATGATGTGTTATTTATGTGGTACCAAGTTATCACACAATTGTTGCTATTTGCTGTCCTTGCAGGTGGAAAGATGCATGCGCAGCCACCTGGAAACCTTTGCTGCCAGCTTGGAAAATCTCAACACGCAGAGCAAATTGATCGTCAGACAACTGAACGTAATTAACAAGTCCGAAAGCATCCCCCCTAAAGTAAGTTTGACTTTGTGGTGTTTGATAGCGTAGCATCCGGCAAAGGTTGTTTGGTAACGGGATGCGGCAGCTGGGACGGGCACTAATTTGTCTGCAATTAGAAATCTCTTCTAAGAACATAAATTACAAAGGGTGTAAATACACCCTCTTTCCTCCTTAGAGCACTCTCCCTTAAGGATCCATGTGCTGCCACCTTTCCCCACCATAATCTCAGTTGGAAGTATCATTGAATCACAGAATGGTTTGGGTTGGAAGGGATCTTGAAGACCATCTCATTCCAACGCCCTGCCATGGACAAGGACACCTCCCACCACACCAGGTTGCTCCAAGCCCTGTCCAACCTGGCCTTGAAGTTACAAGTCTTTACTTTTTGGTAAACAGGGAGGGGCTACCACAGCTTCCCTGGGCAACCTGGGCCAGGGTCTCACCACCCTCATGGTGGAGAAGGATAATAACGCAGAACCCAGCCTGAGGGGTGCAAGAGCCATGACAGTCATGGCTCAGGGACTTCAGGATATGGTCTAGTGGTCATGGTAGTCTTGGGTTGATGGTTGGACTGGATGGTCTTAAAGGTCTTGTCCAACCTTAATGATGCTGTGATCCTATGATTGTACAGCTCTATGACTCTATGATTCTATGACTCTGAGATACCATGACACTAGGCTCCCACCCGCCCCCCATCCTGCTGCCCCCACGTCCCCCGAGACCTCCTCCCCCACCCTCCTACACAGCCCATGTGATTAGTGTCCTTTAGAAAAAGGATATATAGAACAGCACAGGCTTAACTATGGTATTCAAGTTACACGGCTGAATTATGTTCTCTCTCTTTTGTTTTGTTTTTTTCTTTGAAGGATCTGGGTGAGGAATGTAAGACTGTGCAAGTACCGGGTCAAGTGTTCCTGGAGACACTGGAGAGTTTCTTGAGATTGCTGTATGAGAAAATTCAGAATGACTAAATAGAACAACTACACCGAACCCAAGAAGAAACAGAGAACCTGAACTCCAGTCCAACCAAAATGTGATTGGATTAGTAACTTATTCTCAGGAATATGTGTGCAGAATATTTATATAGGGAGATATATGTTGTGCATATATATATGTTTTTTAGTATATATGTATATAAAAATGACATTATGACAGCAGCCATGTTCTCTACAATGACTGAAACATGCTGCTCTGTCAAAAGACAAGTATTTAAAGTAATACTTAAATATTTTATATAGTTTTAATATTTTAACTTATATTGATTCATAAAGAAAGGGTAATTCTATTTATTTATTTATTACTTATTAATGATTCTATTTATTTAATTTGTATATGGACACTTTGAGATATTTATTTTTACAATGCTGTATTCGAATATTCACTTTAAGAAACTGCTGTTCAGTGGTGTGGGGCTGGAGAAGAGTCACTTTGGTCATGAGCTCCCATCTCTGTGCGCTCCCAGGGAATTCAGAGCCAGCAGATAACTTCAATCACTACGTGTTTCATCACCGAAATGTCACCTAAATCCAGTCAAATTATGGATAATACAGAAGCAAACGGGGCTCTGATGGTCTTGTTGGCTTTTTCTCAAAGTTTATTCACCTTAAACGAGGTGTTTCCCATGTCTCCTGTGATGAATCAGAAAATACGTATTTTTTTAGATTTTGTTGAGTATCCATTGAGTATCCATTGGGAAGTGCCTCCATATAAAACCTTCGAGTTAGATTCTGAGAGTTAATATTTAACGACATGGTATTCAAAAGGAATGTCACTACTCAGGCTGGTTTCTACGGACGCACGCCACGTGCCGCCTGCACTGACGTATCCGTTAGTAAATGTTTGTAACCTTCCCTGAACGCAAATGGACAAAAATAAACAAATTTCCTCCCAGAATTCAATGGCCTTTATTTGTGAAGGGTGAGCGGTTTCAGAGCTGTTCCGGTGAGCTGAACACCATTTCCAAGTGGGACGGACACGCGGATGCTGCTGGGGTTTGGGGCAGATGTGCCCCGCATGGGTTGAGCACTCTGCCACGCACCCGGAACCCTCCTGCTCCAGCTTCACCCACTCGTGGGTGGGTTTTTAAGTTTTTTTGGAGGAGCTGCACTCTCACCTGCCAGGGTGAGTCAATCCTGGCTCCACTGGGTCCCTGCCGGGCTCGCAGCACGCCGAAAGCAGGAGAGCTTTCACCTGCCCAGCCCAGAAGTGTCCCCTCGCCTGCCCTGGCAAGAGGGAGCTCCCAGCGCAGAAAACTGGAGAAGCATCTGTGTTCTTCAAGAGGATGAGGATGGAGAGGGCAGCCCAGCTGAGGCAGAGCCATGGAGCAAAACACAGGACGCATCACAGAAACGCCCCCAAATTATGTGTTTTTCCCCCACTAACATCACCATCTCTCCGACCCCACTTTTCAGAGACACGCACTTCCAACGGTCAAACCGAAAGCAGCCGCGCTTCGCCTTCAACCGACATCTACCCCCGAGCAAATGGGGCACGGGGCAGGACCCGGTTGGACAGACGGACTCCAGCCCTTGCTGCAGGAGGGGTAGCCCCAAAAGCCCCCACAGCGGGGTCACAGCCCCCAGCCTGAGCCAGGGTGAGTGCTCCGCACGTCCCCGGGTACCACCAACCACCTGGGCTCTGCGGGCAAGGTCATCAGTGCTTTGGTTTGTGTCGAATTCTCCTAGGAATCAGGAAACGGGAATACAAAACCAAAACTAAAAATAAATCAGAGCAAGGGAGAACGAATGACCAGGTGGATTCTCTCAGCTTGATCTGAGGCAAGAAAATCTTTGGTCCTGAGTGCAGCCTCATTCAGTTCTGCAATAGTTAAGGAAATACTTAAGAACCGCCCTGAAGAGACTCTCACTGCCATTGGATTTCAAAGTTTTTATTAGCAATGAGGTATTTAATTCTTCACATACATTATTTTAAATATTTGCCATTAAATTTTAAATTCACCCTTCAGATAAATGGGAAGTCTCAGGTATATGAGAAAAGAGAAGGATGTCAGGGTTTTAAGTAGAAAACATTAATCAGGCGCAGCACTCTTGGCGCGGCAATCCAGGAAACTCTGACGAAGAGACAAAAGGGAAAAGTGAAGCGTTAATAACTCAAAGTCGGCTCTGGGCTGGCTGGAGGGAAATACAGCCAGAGCTGTTGCCCGGGGCAGCAGACTGCTGGGGGAAGCCAAAAAAGTGACAGAGCCGGCAGCTCTGGTGTGTTGCGGGGTGAAGGCAGAGGGGGCCCAGCTCTGGGTGGAACCTCCCAACCCTGGTGCTGGCAGCACCCAGCGCCGCTCTCCGGCACGGCACAGCCCTTCCTCCTCACCGCCCTCCCGGCAAGGGCCAAAGTCCATTTTGCTGGGTTTTTCTAAGAGCCCTGCTGTTGTCTCTGATCCCAAGTGGGGTCCTAAATAATCTGGAATACCACAGAGCTGATTAAAAGCGCAGCACAAAGAGGAATGCGAGGCAATGCCCAGCTTCAGGTGGGTGGGATGGTTTTATCACTGGCGAGATGAGCAGGGTCATCTGAGCGTGATAACCATGACTGCTTCATCGCGGCGTTAGCAGCGCCGATAAGAATCTTGCATCATCCCAACAATAAAACAGACACACCTTCAAACCTTAGCTGAGCTCTGACTTTGACTCTCGAGAGCTGCCGCAGGCTTGTTTGGATAGGAAGTTTGTTTTTGTTATTTTTTTTAAATGATTGCTGTGTTTCTTGCATCACTGGCAGGAAAAGCAAGAGCCCCACGTGGCTCCGTGAGCCACCAGGTGGGGAACGAGACATTTGAGACGGTAACACAGCGGGGGAAGGTCCGTTTTACCGAGGCACGTTCTACTTTTAGAAGTTGTAGGTGTGGGTTATATTTAGCACTGCCCATTTGACTAGCAAGGAACTATTCTCAGTAAAACCCATAGCCCCAGTGCAGTGGCCGAAGAGTAGACCCCCTGCCTGCTCGATCCCTTTGATGGGCTCACTCTAATCCTAGACCTGCCCGTGTTCATAGGCTCCGTGATGAGCTCTCTAAGGGTGGGAGAAGCCCATCCATCCTCTGTAGGACCAGCATTGGCCTTCTGGATGCCCTCCAAACCCTTGATGGTGGCAGTTGTCCTGTGTCACCGCCACGAGCAGGGATGGGAGAAGGTCTGTCAAGTCCCACCAGGGTCTGAGAGCGCGTGGGAGACACCACAACACCCCCCATCCCATCTTGCACAGACACCAGGATCTCAGGGATATGTTTTGCAGCTTGGTCCAGGGGTTCCTCTCCTAGGTCCCCACTTTCCAAGTTGCAGGTGGCTCTGGAGGAGCATCTCCTGCACAGGAACATGTGGTGGGACACCCACGAGGGAGCCAGGTTGGCCAGGAGATCCTGGAGGAGGGCTGCCCAAGCTCCCTGACAGAGGGTCCCCCTCATTTAGGCCACGCTAGAGGGGACAGAGAGAGGCTTGGACACAGAAATGCTGCTCCCACGCTCCATTCTTCTCCTCCTGCTTAAGCACCATGCCTGTGGCTGTCATTTCACAGCTGTGAAGGTGAGAGGGATGGAGATCAGCCACAGCATCCTTCCCCTGATCAGCTGTGTGCAGGGGATGGCAATGACATCGTGGCCAGATGAAGGCAGCCTCAACTCCTTCAAGTTGCGCTCAGCAACTAAACCTGGGTTACTACTGCAAGGGCAATTCTCCTGTTTTCTTTTCTGAAAGATTTGATTACTCATTTTCTGTTGCTATTTTACTTCCTTCTTCATCTTCAGCTCTCATTAGTCACTTGTCAGGATTCACAAACTGTTCCCAGTTTCTGCAGAACACGATCCTGCCTTTATAGTTTGGGGTTTGGGCTTGTTTCGTGGTGTTTCTTTCTTTTTTCATTCATACACGGTGTCTTTGCAACTGAAAAATTAAGTTTCCCTTTCTGGCAACCCCGTTTCCAGAGCCAAATTGCAGCTGGTCTGTGGGTGGGGCTTGAACACACTCAGTGTAGATTGTTTGGATGGATCAACTGTGTTTCTTTCAGACGGGCGACTGAGAAGGCCATGAGTCACCGTTAATTACTGCCAGCCTTCTGTGGATGCTCACCAACAACTGCCAAAGCCACCGCACGCGTGTGATGGGCACCAGCTTAGAGACATGAGAGGCCATGGTAGGACACAGGGTGCTCAGGGAGCTTGAACGGGATTTACACCAGAGATACCTTGCCATTACTGTCCATGGATGGGGAGATATAAGAAATTGTAGTTGTAATTCCTGTCAAAAAATAGGGAAGACTGTCTTATTTTCTCTGGATGTGCATGCAATAACGTGTGTCAGCCCATGCGCACCAGCCTGCCAGCACTGGGGCCGGGGCGCGGAGGCTGCCTGTGAAATCTTTTCTGATAAAACGGGCATCTCGTTTCTTAGAACTTAACACCCAAATCCAGAACATATCTCTGGAACCTTGCCTAAAAGGTAAGGAAGTTGTTGCGGATCCTCAGGACAACATCCCTCTAAGCGAGCAGAGAGGTTCTCCTTGCTTTCCCAAAATTTGAAAAGTCCATGAATCCTAAAGCAACCAGACCCTGCTAACTCCCATCAGATAGAGCCTCGAAAGACAAAGGTGTTGCAATGGTGGGCAGGGGGTCAGAAGGCTGAGATGTGCAGAATGAGCTGGCTTGCGACTAATTTCTAATTTCATTAGTCTGTAAGATTCTCCCCCGGTCCTGCAAAGGAAGGGCATGCTTCTGTGACTCACAGGCTTCTTTTTCTTTTTGTTTTGAGAAGAAGTCATAGGAACCATGGGGAATACCTTTTGATTAAATAAAAAAGTCTTTCTGCGTCCAGAGCCTATTTCAAAACTCGCAGCCTCTGCTCCCCAATTAGCCTGGCTTGGACCCACGCTCCAAGGGCCCCTTTCCAAAGATGACAGCCCACTGTCCAGACAGCTGGCCACGGACCAGCGACCACAGCC